TCTGTCTCAAACTCCAGTTACATCCATGCAATACTCGCACTCTGATTACATACATGTTGTATGTGCCATACTCAGGCTATACTGTGCACAGTCAAGTTTTTTGAGAATCCAACAGAAAATTTTGTTGTACAAACCTTGGGTGATGGAGGGTAAAGTTCTGTGACCTTCAATCCATACTTTGACAAAGTTAAAATAACAAAATCCTCCTCTTGAGTTGAGAGGGATAACTGTCCATTCATCTAGTGAGGTAATACAATATATTATGTTATTTACATCTGACCTTATACAGAACTGACTTCATACAGCATTGACTCTATATCAACTACACTCGAGTAGGTACTCCCATATATTCGCATATCAACTACATTCTGGTATGGACTCCTATATGTGCTCATAGCGATGCCCATGCATCTGAAGGGTAAACATTCAGTACCGACTAACTGACGCACCAGTCAGCAACCTTGGCCTTTTTTTTAGCAAGATGCTTCAGCCAATACATTTCAACTATGAATGATTTGACATGTCAGTCAGAATATTGTAAAGACTACCAGAAGTTATTTTAGCAAATTTACTGTACTGGGCCGTGTTAACGCCTGGGGTTTTCAACTCAGAAAATCATGATATTTTAGGGGTTGGCGCTTACCCAAGCAACCCCCCTCGGAAAAGAGAGCAAATGACAATTTAAGTTTACCATGTGACAGATTTAGGGGATATTACGACGTTGGAGGAAAATAAAATTAAGAAATTGGTTGTGTCGTCATTGACTTTTACAATGAAGAAACAGAAATGTTCCAAAAAAATAAGCACATTTTATCACAATATTAATTATGTAGCACCCAAATTTACGAGGTTAAAAAATATTAGGTCGGAGTCAAAATCTTCATCATTATCTTGACTTCATTGTCAAATGTGTTGGATCATACGCAAACTCTCGATGAACAGCACTTTCCAGCATGATGTTTTGACCATGATTTGACCTGTTACAATGTCCTTGATGGGTCAAATCCGTTATTAACCAATCAGAATATTGTGTTGTACCGATGCAATTCTGCAGAAGTGAATTATCGAAGTACAATCTGTTGGAATTGATTTCGGCAAATAAATGGCATGTATTTTTCAAAGCAATTTTTGATAAACTGAATATGGCATGAAATATTTACTGCATTTTACTTTTATTAACAGGTCATTATCTAAGCGTAGTTTACGCACGGTTACCGTGGTCTACGCATTCACAACATAGTCACGGCGGACGATATCCACGCCATATCATATAAAAATGACTACCAGTATCTGTTAAGCAATGATCAAAACCAAGTTTTAAATTAGTGTAATTTTGAAGGGGTAGGCGCTTTGCCGAATGTGACCTCGAATATAAAAATTTCCCAAAAGTGGGGGGTGAGCATTTGACCGGGCATGAACGCTAACACGGACCGCAGTAGGGTTTGTACATTATTTTTGTTGGATTTTGAAAACTGATGTGTTTGATGATTAACCTTTTCACCACCAGTTCCCTCTGTTCATCATAAATTCACAAAACAGTCTTGTTTATAGTCTGCACTTTTCTTCAGAAGATTGGCACAAAAATAACCATATTTCTTAAGTAAAAACTAAAAATTGATTCAAATTCTGTCTGGCTACAAAGTTAGGGTTCGCTTCAAGAAATATTGTAGAATACAAGAAAAATGTGCAGAAAAATTTGGGCAAGAAAGTCTGGCCATGAAAAGGTTAATGCAGCCATCATCTAATGCTTCCGCACATACCTTAGCTCTGTCCAGTGTGTTGATCAAGTCCATGTGATCTTCTTGAGAATGATCCAACCCTTGTACATTCTCCAGTAATCCTAATACTTGTACACGAAAATCTGTACTTAAATCTATCACCCCGTTATTGGATGATGATTTACTTTGCTCTGAGAATTGAACAAAAATCTTAATTTAAAAGATAATCCTGTATGTCAACTAGCATCTAGACTACTACAGTACATCCAGTGTTTCCTAGCAACTACACACCTATGGTTAATCCTGTATGTTACCTAGCAACAAGACACCTATAGTGGTATAATAGTGTTAAGAATATATAAAAGTCCTCAGTTATTTTAACTATGATTACTCAGTACAGTAACTAAGACATGTTAGTTCTATGGTTATAAAACAATACAAAGCAAATTCAGAAAGTGCAGGAAGAATCACAGAGTCTCATCATCAGTTTATTTTGTTCAAGAACAATGTCCCTAAATGCACTCGCATTGTGTGTCATGTCAGAAATGGCATACTTAAATGAATAGTTATGAATATAATAGTAAATCGTCCAAATGAATATTGAATACAATGGCGTTTTTGGTGCTTAGCCCGAGCTAAGTGTTCACATGCACTTTGTTAGCCTGTTCTAAAGATCTGATCCGGGTATTAAAAACTGGCCAGACTTAATCTTTACTTAGTATGCTAAGCATTCATGCATGTTTACTTAGCACGGACTAAGACTTAATCTTTACTTAGCATGCTAAGCATTCATGCATGTTTACTTAGCACGGACTAAGGTACTTGATCTCTGGTATCTAAGATATGACATTCAAAGCAACATTTGGAGTTTTAAATTTTATGTAGCACTCAAGATGATTTCAATACTTACCACTTTCATGCAGTGATGGACTCGGTCTTGTTCGATGACACAACTCCTCATCTACTCTTTGAACACGATCTTCAGTCGGCTTGACGAGTTTAGATTTTTTCCGTCCATGGCGATCGTTGTTTAGATCAGACTAGAAAATGAAATAAATAAAAGATTTATCTCAATGCCACACATCAGTGGTTGTGTTAATGTAAAAAAGTGTCTAGGAGGCAACAGTTAATGGAATCACACAGAAAATTATGAACTTGCATCCTAAAAATACTCAAAGAATCTATTTAAGCATCCAAACATTAATAAATTACTATTATCTGTTCACTGGTTAAACAGCTTGTGGGAGTAGGGCAGAAGAGATTCAGTAGCTCGGAAAAAACTATGCAACGAGGCAGTGATAAGGTGTCATAGACCAGACTACGACCATACGATAACTGCTTTATTCAGTAAAACTATAAATACACTAACGTCAGATGGTTAGATTACACAAGACAGGATTTGCAAATTACTATTAAATCTGGAATCTATCACTGAACTTGATCTTGTTTATTAGTGTAATTAAATTCCCCGGACGTTACACCCCTTTTCGTAATATTTGGGATTCTCAGACTTGGTGTCTTGTGTCTCCCGACATCCTCCGGGCGGCCAGAAATTAAGCAGGCAAATAATAAATATTCAAATATTACAAATATATGACAGTAAATTCAACAAATCGATATAGATATAATAAACGGAATACTAGTATATGGAAATCAAACGATTAATAAACGATACTAAAACTACCGAAAATAAATCAACAATGTTCAAAAGTCAATATTCGAATGGTCATAAATGTCCCGTATTTTCAAATCAGCAATAGCGACGGCAGTTCTCTTTGATCTGCGTACTGACGGTGGCGGTTCTAAGACGGTGCTGTTGATTTCATTGACACATGCACTGTCCACGGCACTAAGTTCCAAAGGATAGGGCTTGCATACTGGTCGACTGGTTTTGCCGGATTTCATACATATGTACATTTCTTGTTGACCACTTCCTTTAATTCGTGTAGTGAGCACACTGTGTTGCCATGCTCGCGGGAAATCTGGGTTTTGACGTTTGCCGGTAATTTATCAAAAATGATTGGCACAAGTAAATCACCATACGAATCCTTACTTTCACCGATGTGAGTTTGGAGATTGTCATAACAGTTCATCATGTTGGATAACTAATTTTGTGTTGCTGACCATACCGTTGTTTCAAGGTGGCTAGCGCTTCTAGATAGTTGGCATTGGTTACTGGAAGCCCTTGATCGTTCGTGCTGCTTCACCGCCTAGTTGAGCAGTCAAGTATTGGAATTTCTGGACCTCTTCCAGCTTAAGGTCCTTATCTAGTGACAATGTGAATGTGTCAAGGAACGTAGTCCCTTTTTGAGTGTTGCCTTCAAATTTCGGCAACTGCGATTTAGGGAGGTTGACCGTCTGTCTTGTTGTAGACATGGAGGTATCATGCGTTGAGCTTGCTCCAGCTGAGTGTTTCTCTTTATGAAGTTTTCGTAACGTACCGTTGATAATTATAGCATAATCATCCGCTTCTTCAAAGTACTGTGCGTATTAGTCTTCGTCTTCAATTTCGTCAAGTATTATTTTGCCACATTCCTGGATGGTTTCTACGAGTTTCTTGATATCTGGAATCGTTATCACCATTACGTTTTTGTCTGACATAAGAAGTTTTTCTTTTCTCGTAATCTCTTCAGCCTTGTTGAGTTGCTTGGTCATTTGGTCTGTGTTGTCCTTTCGTTTCTTGTAAGCCCTTTGGCTTTCTGTCTGTTGCACAATCGGTAGACATGTCGAAGGTGTCTTAGTCTTGACTGGGAACTCACGATCCTGGTCTCGGCACCAAAAATGTAGGGAAAGTTTTGGGTCGTGGAGTAGGGGAGACAAAGACGAGGTGTGCCTAGTTAGAACACAAAGTAGCAACTGATTTAATCGTTAAAACTAAGCATCTATATACTGTTACATGTACATGTCAATATTTGTGCAAACAGAAATTGTAGGGTAGCAGGATGTTGCATAATACTTAAGTCGTAGAGACTACATATGGTTAGGCATCTGTTCTTCTTATCTACATTAACACATTTTCCGACACAGCTTGTGTATGGTTGCTAAGATCATGCAACACTACGGCTGCCTAGATCATGTGACAGTATGGCTGCCTAGATCATGTGACAGTATGGCTACCTAGATCACGTGACGGTATGGCTGCCTAGATCACGTGACGGTATGGCTGCCTAGATCATGTGACAGTATGGCTGCCTAGATCACGTGACAGTATGGCTGCTTAGATCACGTGACAGTATGACTGCTTAGATTACATGATGGTATGGCTGCCTAGGTCATGTGACAGTATGGCTGCCTAGGTCATGTGACAGTATGGCTGCCTAGGTCATGTGACAGAATGGCTGCTTAGATTACATGATGGTATGGCTGCCTAGGTCATGTGACAGAATGGCTGCCTAGATCATGTGATGGTATGGCTGCCTAGATCACGTGACGCTATGGCTGCCTAGATCACGTGACGGTATGGCTGCCTAGATCACGTGACGGTATGGCTGCCTAGATCACGTGACGGTATGGCTGCCTAGATCACGTGACGGTATGGCTGCCTAGATCACGTGACGGTATGGCTGCCTAGATCACGTGACGGTATGGCTGCCTAGATCACGTGACGGTATGGCTGCCTAGATCACGTGACGGTATGGCTGCCTAGATCACGTGACGGTATGGCTGCCTAGATCACGTGACAGTATGGCTGCCTAGATCACGTGACAGTATGGCTGCCTAGATCACGTGACAGTATGGCTGCCTAGATCACGTGACAGTATGGCTGCCTAGATCACGTGACAGTATGGCTGCCTAGATCACGTGACGGTACGGCTGCCTAGATCATGTGACAGTATGGCTGCCTAGATCACGTGACAGTATGGCTGCATAGATCACGCGACAGTATGACTGCCTAGATCATGTGACAGTATGGCTGCCTAGATCACGTGATAGTATGGCTGCCTAGATCATGAATGAATTTCTTGAGCTTTTGGAAATAATTTCTTCTGGAAGTTTATTCCAGAGTTTGACCCCAGCATATTTGATTGAATGTTGTCCCAAATTAGTATGGTATTTTGGAATAATAAGATTACCTAATGCTTTTGATTTTGTGTAACTTGCCATTGAGATTATCATGAACAAACAAAGACATTTGCAAATCATGTTGTTCATAGATATCCAGTATATGGAGCTGATTAAAAGTGAAGTGTGTGAGAGGCATTCTGATCCTGTTAATATCATATGCATGCAATTTTTTTTATGTGTGAGATGTATGGGTTTCAGGAAAGTTGAGTATGTGTTCCTCAAACACAGCTTATTTTAATTTCTTCACCTATTTGATACATATTCAGTGTTCTCCCCAGAAAATGTTACAACAGGATCACAATTAATAACAAGTAACTATTCATCTCAGTTGGAGTCATTTGATAAGACAAGTTGGTGAATACTTATACAAAATATTTCAAATCAGAAATAACAATAACTGACATTTTACTTTACTTTAGTTTTATATGTATTGTACTTTATTACTAACATTTCATTGCTGTCAACCAATGGAAATTATTTCTAAGGATGCAATAAATTCATTATTATTCGTAAGAAAATAAATAGCTGATTATAAAAATATGTTTCTGGTGACAGAGGTTCAATTTACTGATAAACTTCCTTTGTTGTGTCTAGTCTTCCATGGTCAACGATGTAGGTTGGTCATGGCACAGCCTAGGAAGTTGTGAGTAACTACTCGCAAATGCGCCTAAAAAATACGTCTATGCAAGTAAAAACTTTTAAATATCCGCATTTAGCTTGCAGTTTTCAGAAACTACTCGCATTTTGCGAGTGAAAATTGAAGCAGCTGAAACATGCCGTGCACGCGTCAGACTAGACGAGATACCGAGCATCTTTGAATAATTTTCGATGTACTCGGAAAGTCTAGTTTCAGGCGCATGGCAAGTGTCATGTTGCAATTGAGAGCGTACAAGCCAAAATAAAAAAAATAGTAACATTGTAAATATGTGATTGGCAGTTTTTGTTTCTAGTCAAAATACGGGCATACAGTTTTTTTAAATGAACGGCGGTTTACACTGTCGGCGGCTCTTTGATTGTCAACAAAATAATTTTCATTGGCTAATGTGACTGCGTTTTTCAGCCTCAAGTCGCGTTGGAAACATCGATAATCTAAGTCACACTGTTGCTTTCTCCGCTC